TTTCCTGCAGTTCTCCTACCTTGAGTCTTCATTTCGCTGTTAAGTGAGCTAATTTTAAAGTTCCAAATATAATTAAAAATTAAGAAACTCTGATTCTCTGTCACTGTAGCTGTAATAATATTTGCAGAACCTCAAATTCTGTACCTCTGGATTAAAAGAAAAATATCTTTGGTAAACAGAGGAATAATCTTGCTCCCAATTGGTTTTTCTGTTACTTAAAGAGATTAATGGGATGTACATTTTGTCATATAACACATATTAAATATTTTTCATTAGACATAAATAATGTACCAAAGAAGTCATGAAAATTGGCTGGTGGTGGGCCAGTCATCCTCTTTCAGCCCAACATACCTCACTCACAGCTTTGTTGTGGGGAAAATAAGTGGAGGGAGGTGTGTTGGATACGTCACAGTCTTGAGATGTTTGTAAAAAATAATAAAAACAAGGTATCTATAAATAAATAAATACAATTGGTTGGTTATCAGATTAGGTAAGTAGCATTTGGAGTGCAAGCAATTCAGGATTTTAATATCTAAGTTTACAGTTTTTGTCTCTTATTCTTTAGGGGTTGATGAAGAAATTCATCCGGTGTTCTACACGTGTAACTGTAGGAACCATCAAGAAATTTCTAAGTGTAAAATTAAAACTTCCAAGTTCTTATGAGGTATGATGTTCTATCAGCCAAAGCAGTAGACCCTGTCCTTTGACTAAGTGAATTTAAGCGATCACAACTTTAGCTACCTAAACCATTTTTCCTTGCATTGCAAATATGGAATGTCATATAGCACATTAATAATCTTTTTTTTCCTTAGTGAAGTCTTAATGATACCTATTCCAATATAAATTGGCATTCAATTGCACTTTTAAATGTCATAATCCAATTTATTTTATTGAAGGTGGTCAATCACCAAGAAAGAAAAAGAGCAGACTATTAGGAGAACATTTTATAAATGAATTCCATCTGAAAAGTTTTCATCTGAAAAATTGTGTAGTATATTACAATCCAAACAGAATAGAAAATCATACTGCAAGGCATGCAGCTCTGATATTAGATGGAAATTTATTTTAAAACAATTAAATGTGTAAAGCAATTTTCTTATGTTGTATATATTTACGACTGTATTATTTCAATCACAATTTACTTTAGCATATATGCTTTGTATGCTAATGGCCTTAGATTCTGTCCTTGAAAAAATGATTTAAAAAATAATTTTGCTGCTTATGTTAAAGACCATGCTTGAACCCCTGCAAAATTATTGCTTCAGTGCTGAAGTGGATGTCTAAAATACTGTAACATCATTTTTTAAAATTTTCTTACACCAAATAAGACTTTAGTTTTTCTCCTTCCCTCATGCAGAAGTTATACTGCATATAAAACAGCATAAGATAATTTCCTAATTTGCACATTCATCTTGCCATAAAAAAATACAAGTATATAACTCTTCTATCCATTGAAAAACATCTAATGATTTAATATAAAGACCAAATGAATCCCAAAATAAATATGGGGGGCGGGGAGGGACCATGCAAATGTATTTAACAGCTGTAATGGATGTTCTATGTTTTAAACACTTTATTTTAAGCAGCTTGTTTAGTTGGAAAATACAGTTTGTATTTGGGAATAATAATTAAAATCTACTAAGTAGCTAAAAGTCATTTTGTTTGCATTCTTCTTGTTCACTAGAAAGCTATTTTGCATAAGAGTAATCAAGCTGTGGTAGGCTTCTCATCTCTTTTTCTTCTTATATATGAATGATTCTCTTTTAGGAAAGATGAACATAGCTCTAAGAATACTTCTTCAAATAACTGGTTTTTTTTGTTTTAAAGCTGGATGTACTATGCAATGGGGAAATCATGGGGAAGGATCATACTATGGAATTCATCTACATGACAAGATGGAGACTACGAGGCGAAAATGTAAATGAAATAAGTTTTTATTGCTTTTAGTTTATATATAAATATTTATATTAATTATAGGGNTTCTATGTTTTAGCCAAAAGAGTGTCTCGCAGATCAAAAGAGCAAGGATGAACTTAGAATTAATTTAAGACTGTTGCCATTCAAAATTACAGAGCAAACAATAGAGACGCATTAGCTTTATGGAATCAAAAATCAAATTAAAAATATTGCTATCTTATGGAGTACGCCTCTTCCCTACAGAACAGTCATGGAGTTTGTAATCACTTTCAGAACATTTGCTCGAAAAGAAATTGAAAATAGATTTAGAATAGCTCTGTTATTTCCCATTGAAGTTCTATAATGTATGCCTGTAATGTATGTTAACATATGAATATATACATATTAAGTATTTTCAGTTGTTGATTTTTCTTTTCCAGGCTGGATAATACTTTAGAAGAAATTATATTTAAGCTGGTTCCAGGACTTCGAGAGAGTATGTTTTTGCTCCTCTTAACAAGATTATTTATTTTGGTAATCCCGTTGCATTATTAATTTTAATTACAAATTTGTTTTTTGTTACTGAAAACTAGAAGAATTGCACCGTGAAGCTGAATTCTGGAAGAAAAATAAACCTATAGAAAATGGAGGAGGTATTTACATTTATTTCACAATGTAACATTTTAACTTCCAACATTAAAATGTCAGCAACTGTAGTCTTATTTTTCACTTGAATTTGTTAATAAATGCAAATATGTACATCTTATTGAAGGAACAAGCCATCCATCATAAGTAGTGCCTCTATTTTATATAACTTAAACTTTAAATAATTAAATGTCACAAACTGCGTTACTGATTTTAAGTACTTCTTCAGAACATTTTCTGCCTCACCTAAGTTTGGAAAGCAAAAGTGGAATTTCTCTGCTTATTGATGACACCTTCTCCCACATTTCCCACTCAAGAGAAGTTTCTTGTAGAAGTTGAACAGCAAGATAAATAGAAAACAGCTGCGCCAAACAAAATGGAACTCTCTTGGCACTGCTTCAGTGAGATTCATGAAATCGGTTTCAAGAAAAACTTGCCCTAGATTGCAATCTTAGTTTGTTACTTTCTGCATTGCTCTCTGTGCACTTTTTTTTTGTTTCAGAAGAAAATGCAAATTCTGAAAATGCTAAAGATGGTGAAAATGGAGATGAAAACCAAGAAGATAAAGATTATCACAGGAGTGACCCACAGATTGCTATTTGTCTGGATTGTTTACGTAACAATGGGCAGTCTGGTGATAATGTTGTAAAAGTGAGTTTTGAAATCTTTATACATGTCTATGGAGATTCTGTCATCCAGGTCATGGTTGTCCCAAAGGTGCTTTTTCAAGAGGCAACTGGACTTTCTGCTTTTTCTTTGAAGACTTTTTGCTTCTCAACTGAAGAAGTTTCTTGGATGAGAAGTGAAACATCTTCAAAGAAAAAACAAAAGGTCTTGCCTCTTGAAAAAGCAACTTTGAGGCAACTCTTTATACATTATTAATTAATAGAATGATGCAGGTATATAATAGGTATGATATAAACAAGTACAATTTGATACTTGAAAGGTGATTTTCTGTAATTCAAGGAAACCCAAACTAATTTCAAAATTTTTCCTGCAGTTCTCCTACCTTGAGTCTTCATTTCGCTGTTAAGTGAGCTAATTTTAAAGTTCCAAATATAATTAAAAATTAAGAAACTCTGATTCTCTGTCACTGTAGCCGGTACTGTTGAACATTATAGTACAATAATATTTGCAG